GAGAATATGTTGAGGTATTGTATATTTGTATCAATGTAATGTTTCCGTTCATTCTAAATTTTTTACCGGATTTACTATATTAGATCGCGACTGATAAGGAACTTGGGTTAGAAAAAGCAGAAAAGGCTGTAGAAGAATCGTTTACAAAAAAATTTTCTGATCCCACGGATCAGGAAATGTTTCGTAGAATGCAGCGTATTTTTTTACAACTGTAAGTTATAATCATGCCATTTTTTTTCTTGCCGTTTTACTTTTGTAATGCTTCTTATTTTGTTTTAGAACAACAAACATTCCTATCAAGCCGTTAGATGATCTCCTTAGTGAAGGAACTTTGACGGCCAACATTATCAGCCCTGTTTTGCGTTCTTTCTTCCATGATTCCATGCTTCATCCCACTATATGGCCGAATACAGCAAGCATGAGCGCTAAAGCTCGTAAGCTTGCTAATATGGATCCGTCACGTGCCAAACAACCTGATATGATTGGAAATGTTACGAATAATAATAAATCGGTGTTTGAAGTGATGTATGGAGAAAATACTGGCGAAGGAAAGAACAACAATATTAGAAAAAATACCCTTGATCTCATCAGAATAGGTATCTTTATGAAAGATGCTCTAGACAATATTATTAAGGAAACAGGAAGAAGTTTTGTAATCTTTGGATGGCGAACAATTGGTGAGTGTCTACTAAATTGCTATATGCTAAATTGCTTGCTAAATTGTTTATATGTGTAATTTTTATATATAATATGGTAGTAACAGCATGGACAGGCTACATGATGGTTTTGACTGCTCCGGGAATTTATATCATGTTTGAGGTTGGACAAGCTGAGCTTCCTAGTTCCTTTCGAACTTGTGGGCAGTTTATTGATAGTGTTGATGATTTGTTTATATTTGCGGTATGCTTGGGTGTATTTTTTTATTTAATTAATTTTTAAACCTAACAAACAATATTTATTAAAAATTTAAGGAGAAATATAAACAAGAAGTACGAAAAATTTACGATTATATCAATCAAGGAAAAGAAGGTAGTGTAAAACCTGCTAGTTGGTGCCGACCCACACTCGGAACACCACAGTTTCGGAAACTAATAGATATTTATAAATGAGTAAATGGGTCTTTCAAGGTATGAAGGCTTGGTAGTTGGTAGATTGATCAAAAAATTTTTTTCTTGAAATATCATGTGCAGTAAAACGTCATCTCTATAATTTTCCGCAGTAACTATGTAATAATGCAATAAGAACTGTTAAATAAATCACTGGTTTAATTGATAAGCAAAGTCTAAGTTTATAATAATCAAGACAAAGGAAAATTACCAGAAAAAGCATATCCTACTGATGCTAATTATGATATTTATTATACTGAAAAAGAAGCAATCAGAATTTCATCACATTAAGTTATATTAGTAGATATCTATATTAATTACTATAGAAATTTCTGTAGAAGTTGTATATCAAGTAATATCTCACTCATTTCTCATCAAACAAGAAATCAATATTAAAGATAGAACTATTAATTCTAAATATTCTA